ATGCGCCACCATGCCTGGCTAATTTTTCTGTATATATCAGTTGGCCAATTAATTTCTTTCTATTTATAGTAGAGACAGGATCTCGCTCTTGCTCAGGCTGGTTTCGAACTCCTGACCTCGAGCAATCCGCCCGCCTCGGCCTCCCAGAGTGCTAGGATTACAGGTGTGAGCCACCGCGCCCGGCCTGTAGGATTCCATTTATATGACATAAAAGGAGAGGCACCACTAGGCATGGAGGACAGAGTGCCAGAGGTTAAGGGCATTAAAGTGGTGGCACAGGGAACTGGCTGGGGGGGTGGAGTGACAGAAGAGGAGGCGCCGAGACTGTTTTCTATCTGATTGTGGCAGCAGTTATACACTTTTTGCATTTAGCAAAACTCATCCTTACACTAAAATAGAAAATTTTTCCTGAATACAAATTTCAAATAAATTTTAAAAGAAATAAAAAGTTACAAGCATTTCTTACAAAAGAAATTCAAAAAGATTCAGAATTACATAAATTACATAAAGTAGAAGACAACCCAAGTCTAGTAAAATGTGTGTTAATCTATTGAAAATATATAGTTACAAGATGTTTATTTTGTAAAATATAAATATGTAACATTATTTTTTCTAAATTGATAGCCAACAACCCTAACACCATATATTGACTAGTCTGGTGACTTAAAATGCCAGGTTTAAGATATAATAAATTCCCAAAGAACAAAGTTGGGAATTTACTATAAATAAATTTTTGCTTGTCAGAATTCTGGGAGTCTGTTGAGGAATTTTTATCACCAGGATTCTGAGCATCTCCTGCTTTCTAGAAAAGCAGCCAAACCCGGAAAAGAGCTACCCCTCCCCCGGGCTGCCCTCTGCAGAGTGGTCGCAAATTGGGAACACACTGTGTGAGGGAGGAGGAAAGAGTTAGGAAACCACATGGACCAGAGAAAGGGAGGCACATTTTTAGAGGCTGCTGTGAGTCTGTCCCTTTGGGAGTGTGAAGGCTATTTAGAGAGGATTTCTGGAAAACATTTTAGGGGTATACCGTGTAAAATCCATTAGTATACTCCTTGAGAAAAACTAAAATAAAGATCTTCCTGTATAAGGCTTCCACAGTCATATTTGTATTGTGCATGTACTGGACCACATGGGGCCCTAGAAAAAGTTGGGTTACATTATGTATACATGGTTCTGTTTCTGGACTCTGTTCTGTTCTACTGAACTAATGTATGAATAGGACCATTCCACTTTAATTATTGTGGGTTTTTAGGGAGTTTTGTTATCTGATAGAATAAGTCTCTCTCTTTATTCTTTTTACAGAATTTTCTCAACTACTGTCATTGACTTATTTTTCTAGTTGAACTTTAGAATCAACTTCGTAGGCTCTAAGAAAAGCAAGTCTCACTAAAAACTTGATTAGATACTTGATTAGATACTAACCTGAAACTTGATTAGCTACTAACCTGAAAGATTAATTTATGGAAAGATGATTCTACTGATGATCCTGTCTTCTGGTAGGTTGAAAAGCAAATGCTGGTTATTTAAAAATGGCTTTTGGAGATTTATGTAATTTGGTTCCATAAAGCTTAAATCTAATGAAAACCTTCATTAGAAAAAAATAAATAACTTCTGATGAATGATAGTGATTTAAGGCAACATCCTGATCACCAAAGTCTACAGATTCAAGAATCTTGTCCCAATGTTCAGATGCAAATTCAGTGACAAAATTGGACTCTCCCCTCACCAGCTGATGGCAGCCTCCTGAAGTTGGAGGTGCACAAGCAAAGCCACTGTGATGCTGAGAAGCGTTTCAGGGTCTTATGAGGACTGCCACTGCAAATAACTGGAACTGCAGCAAGGCACTGTCGTGAGTCCCTGGTACCCGATACATCTCTGAGGCACAGAAGGAACATGCTGGAACGGGAGTAAGGGGTGACGTGTGTCACAAAGCACTGAGTCTCCTGGAAGGCAGGCCCGGGGGGAGCAGGAAAGTGAGACGAAATACACTTTAGCCAGCTGCCTGCTGTCTTTCTTGTTGTAATATATGGCCTGACTTCCGACCAAACAGCATCGGCCTGGAGCTTTAATCTCACAAAGTGTTCGTGTACTACCATTTTGTACTCTCGCAAAAGTACTGTGAGATAATCCAGCCATAAATCTATATTTTGGCTAAAAATCAAATTTAGATTTTAAGAATAGGGCAACATGATAAAGTAATGCATACATAAGGGGCACTTTGGTTACTAAGAAGGCAGATAATATATAGCCCTAACTATGTCTTTCTCTTTTCCTGAGAACTATCACTGTGTGAAAATGGGGACTGAAGAAGGCTGCCCTGCTGCTCTGGATCATTTACATATACTTGTGACATTCAAACACGTTATCTGCTACTGAAAGGGAGTGATGACTGCAATAAACCAAAGACACTGTTTAAGCAAACACATTTTTAGTTGTCAAAGGAGTGTAAACATGACCACATTGAATGCATTTTCTAATAGTTGTTTTTCTTCAACCAATCCCCTTAACCAATGTTTCCCTACAGGATGGATATCACATAACCGTGTGTGTCATATACCTAGAAATACTTCCCTGCAAATGTCTGGCCTTTTTCAGGCTTTGTTTTTGGATTAAAAACCTGAATACACTCATGGTTGGGTGTGCTGAGGGGCACCCAGGGGGTCTGGGGAGATGTGGAACACTTGGTAGGCTGCACAGAGTCCTTCCAGACGTGCTTATGCTGGAAGCTGTCTGCTAACTCATGTGTGTGAACATGCGTGGGCCAGGCACGCACCCAGGCCAGGGTTGCTGACTCCTGGCACGTCTTCTCAATATAAGCTCCCCTCCACTGCAAAGCCAGACCTCTCCAGCTATGGCCGTACTTGACTCTCAGAGCAGAAGCCCGAAGAGTTGCTTCTGTTCGCACACACCTCCTGAAGGGCTTCTCATCCATTCTTCCAACATATCAGTCCCCAAATTGACTCTCCACACCCAAAATTCCGGTTGACATAAGCAAGGGCCAAAGGTCTGAGTGGATAAGAATCTCTAAGCTGCCTGCTTGAATGATTTACGGTCCAGGAATGTGTGGCCTATATATGCACAGAAAGCTCTGGAGGCACGCAAGCAACACACACAAAGACTTGGAACAGATGTGTTCAGGTAACCCAAAAGGGGGACTCCACAGAACAACTGGGTAGCTATAGCTGAGTTTCCTAGGGGAAAAAATCATCAAATCACCATGCCAAATTATTCCCCTCAGCTCCCATTCCTACCAACTGGCCGGAAATTTGGGGTAGTGGAAAGACTAGGATCTCTACCCAAGTGACCTTGAGCAGGTTACCAAAACTTTCTTCGCTTCAATGTCCTCATCTATAAAGTCAGCTCCGTAACAGTTCTCCTTCCTAGATTATTAGTTCCTTTTCTTTCCCTCCCTTCACTTAGTTTCTAAATGCTCTGTGATTGAGCCAAATTAAAGTGGACTAATTTTCTTACTAAGGAAACAGACCTACTTGTGAAGTATGCATATGTATCTTATCCTCTGTGTATTCACATGCAAAGCAAGATTTGGCAACACCAGAGTTTCTCTTTGCGCAGTGGAGGCCTTCCAATGCCCCTGCAGCCTTGGACTAAGACTGACAGCAGCAAGCGAACTACGAGAAATCAGTGTAAGGGCTAACCTGGCCAGACATCTTCATAAAACTACCAAGATTCCAGAAATAGTTACTTTAGTTTTGAAGACCTGTAAAAAAAATTCACAGAACAGCTCTAGAGTTCCAAAGCACAGCCCTTCTCAAGGTTAGTAAAAAGCAAGGAAGGATGGGGTTGGGGAAACAGGAGATAGAACTAAAGTCAATTTCTAAAAACTGCAGGGAAAACAGATATGGGGTGGTTAAAATTACTTGGCCCTGTCTTACGCTGAGAGCGAGTTGCAGAGAGTCGGTGGTAAGGGACATGAAAGTTCAGTGACTGTGTGTCCACGTGCACAACTGTAAGCATGAGAGAGAGGGGGACAGTGGGAGGAAGGAAATACAAAGAGACTCTGAGCTGCCTTTTAACTTTGTGATACACCAAGTTTCTAGCCCAGCAAGAGTGAATGAAATGGACCCACTCCCTACAGCTTCTGGCTTTATGTGACTAAAGAAAAGAGAAATGTTTTAGGAGGCCAACTCAAAGGCTGACAATGTCTTAGCCGCTAACAACCTCATTTTTAAAAGGAGGGGGACCATTTTGATCAGTTCAGTGTCAATGAATTCGAAACATGGAATAAATTTATTCTAAAATCCATGTGAGATTACCATAATGAAGACTCTGGAATAGAGTCTAGTAAAATAAAAACTTAAGAAAGTTACAAACATTTAAAAATAAAAGGTAGAGAGGTAGATTGGGGAGAAAACACTGAGGGGATTTCGAAGAACAAAGAAAGCCTGGAACATGAGCAGAAGATATCAGAGCAGCACTGGTAGGCTGACTGCACCCTGCCATCTTTTCAGATTTTTTATTTTGCAAAGAGAGACGCTCAGTCTTATCACATTCAACCTGCAGCGTCATCAGCACTGCAGATGCCCACAGTCACTGGGCTGCCTGGGAGCTAAGTGAGATCAATTAAGCCGGCCCAGCAGGTGGGTGTCTGGACTTTCCCCTGCTGCCTAACATGGTCATCACCACCCTGCAGCCCCACCACTCCTCAACCCTCTCAGCCAAGGAACACACGGCAGGGGCATGGTCTTTCTCCTCCTCGCCGAGCTGTTTGCATGTGCACCCACACCTGCTTTCATCCATACATCATAAGCGCTCACTGGCGGAAAGCTGCCGGAGCAGCTGCTGTTCAGTACAAAGACAGAATTGATTACTCCTACCTTCGTCATTCACACATTTTGTGTCCTTATTCTAATTCAAATCTTCAATTAAGAGTTAAGTTGTTTACTCATCTGTTTTACATAAGACTGCAAACTTCTTTGGGACAAAATTTAAAAATGCATCTTCCTAGCATTTAACGCAATACTTTTTGAACTGATTTTTACCTGTAATGAATAGATCAGAGCTGGAGATGTGGTTCTGACCCCTTTGGTCTGTATGGCCTTGGTCAGGCATATTTTGAAGCTTCTGTTTTCTCTTCTATAAAATGGCAATAATAGTACTTCTCCACAGGCTTCTTGGACAGTAACACTGGACAATGAGTATGAAAGACAATGAAGAACTATTCCACAAAAAGGCACTATTTTTTTCAAACACCCAATTTAGCAGAGCCGACTAATGTTCCATGCTTTAGAGATGCCTGTATTCACCAGGAAGTCCCAACACTGCTTTCCTGTGCTGACCTAAGCCATCCCTTTGCCTCATACCTTGTCCTCAATAATTTTTAGCTAAGGTCCTGGCATTCCCAGAGGCAGAGTCTGCTCAAATTTTACCAGGGGGAATCCTCTGGCTCACTTTCATCATCATCGGAGAACTCTACTAAACAGCTACTCAGCTCTGTGCTAACAGACAGGAGACAGGAAGAGAAGCCGCTCCTGACCTCTGCCCTCAAGAAGCTAACTATCTAAACTAAAAGTTAAACAGGAGAACAAGGAAGCATACGGCCAATGCTGAGTAGCCTGGGAACCGCAGGAATACAGGGCAGACTGCTGGGTTCTAGAACGTGCCACACCTGGCGGTGGGGTGAGCTGTGAGAGGAAGGGGCCCTGGGTGGTCAGACGGAAGGAAGGAGTGCACTCCAGAGGCTGTCAAGGACCCAACAGAACCTGGGACACACCTGCCTGGGCTGGGAGAAGGGACAGACACACAGAGGAGCAGGAAGACTGAGGACCCTCGAGGTGACTGCCAGATGTGGACCACCATCGAGAAAAAACTGAAGTCTGCAGGGTGGGAATGTTTGGGAGAAAAGATTAAGCTTACAGTTTGAGGTGACGATCAGACACCTGAATATTAGGCATAGTCACAAACTGGGGCTCCCCAGTAGGGCTCTGAGATGGATGTGTGGATTTTACACAGAACCAGAGTGGAAGGGTTGAAAGTAGAATTTATCTCCTGAGAAGAAAGACTTAAGAACTACAGAGGAGGAAGAACTGGGCCTTGGGGTACATCTTCAGCAACAGGGCTGGAAAAGGAAATACAACAGAACCAACAGAGAAGCCGATGCTGTAGCCTAAGAGGCCGCAGCACAAGCACAGGAGCACAGGGGCAATGGAAATGGCTGGAGAGGATCCTAAGAAAGATAAACTTCCGACAAGGTTACTCATAAATGAATCTTTTGACATAAGTTTTCAAACTTTCTCCCCTTCTCTAACACTTCCAGACCTCAATTCATGGTTTTGGAATCTCCACCAGGCAGGCTCAGAAGATGTGCATAATGTCAGGGCACTGGGAAAAGTTTCTAGAAAAAGCCAGTTACCAGGGGGAGGGGTAAAAACCTACCTATCAGGTACAATGAACAAAATCTGGGTGATGAGCACACTAATAGCCCTGACTTAAGCATTATATTAAAATAAAAGGTAATCATGTAACAAAAACATTTATGCCACCTTAATATTTGGAAATAAAAAATAAAATAAAGAAAAAATTCAAAAGCCACTTACCTTTCTGCAAGTGGCCCCATGGGTCCACAGGCAAGCTTCTGATTACCCAGAAAGAGAATATATCTGTCAAACTCAGAACATCTTATGTCAAAATATAATTTTAAAAATCCAATGTGAGTTCATTCTTCTCCCTACACATTCTAATCCTGGTTCAAATATCTCTATGACTTGCCTTAGTTGCAAAGAATTAGAAACAAAGTGAGATAAAAGAGAATAAAATTCAATTATTTTCAATGAATGATAGAATACCTAGTGTAGCTACTGTGCCAAGAACTGAGGATAAAACAATACACAAGACAGATCAGATCCTTGCCCAGCGTATGGTTTAGCCAGGAAGGCAGACAATTTAAAAAGTAGTAGGGCAGCATGCTATAAAGCAGGGGGATCTACTCTAACCAAATATATGCTGTCAGCATTCCCCTGAAAGAGTGTCATTTGACTGAGATTCCAAGGATGAGGTTAGCTAGGATTCCAATCTGAGACAAACAATGAACACTAAAAGGAAAGAGGTAAAAGTGTGAGATCTGTCAGCATAAAAAAGTATGCAAATTTGTCAAATTCTGTCCCCAAAAAGGTGCAAAACCAAAAAACTCAGAAGTAGGAAAAAGGCCTCTGCGATGTGCGCCTTACTGAAGAATACTTAAAGAACTTAAAGAATACTTAAAGAACTAATTCTTGGCCACCCTGCTTTAATTTTATCATGCTACCTTCCAAAATTACCTAAAATGCAGTAAGTCCTCACTTAACGTCGTTGATGAGTTCCTGGAAACTGCAACTTTAAGCAAAAGGACGTGTAACAAAAACCAATTTTGCCACAGGCGAATGTTGAACCGATGTTGAAATTGGTTCCACTGAGTGAGGAAAAGCGGAGAGAACTCTGGGCTGGAACAGGAAGGCGACTCATCAAACTGGAGCGCCATCAAACAAACTAGTGTCTGGGAAGGCCCCCAAAACACAGCCGATGATTACATTTCCCACTGCAACGACGACTGGCATGTCCATCAGCTTGTCTCAACATCTCGCAGTCAGTCACATGGTTCTATGGAACCCCATTTATTTTCTCTTCCTAGCATCCCATTATTTTCATATAAAAATGTACCCTTAAATAATATACAGCTAATGTGCTCAGGGGACAAAAAACTATGTTGTAATAAGGACTCAAACTTTGAAGGAACCTACCCCATTGAAGTGAGGGGGAAGAGAAGCTCTGTGGCTGATGGAGGAACCTCATTAGATGGAATGATAGAGTTCTCCTCCCCTTCTCTTACTCAAGCTGTTAAGGTCAAATGGCAGCCAGTGTGTCCCCAAATAATCATGGGAACCTTTTACATCAGACATCAATACTTACTCATGTTTGAGTCTCGCTCTTGAAGGTACCCGCGTAATAAGGGGAAACAGTAGGAATAACAGCAGTAAGATTTTGCAACACAGTGTGCATCAATTCCGCAGCCCATGCTATCCAACTGGCCAACCAGGACCAAAGACAGCTGCTCCCTACAGCAAGAAAGCCTCCCCTTGCCCTGCACAGAGCCACACCCCACCACCAAGATCCAACTCCAGCTTCAACTCCATCAAGCTTGCTCAGCTTCAGTCCACAGTGAGATCTCCCTTTCTCTGAATATTCCTCATCTGTAAACGAGGGAGTTAGATGATTTTTAAGGTCCCTTTCTGGTATCGAGACACAATGATTTTATGAGTAATATCACACTGAGAAATAATATGCCTCTCTTATATTTTCAGCTCCATTTAAAATCATTGCCTTATACTTTTATTTCCCACAGTATTCTTCCCATACTTTGTATGGGATATTAACTGACAAATATTAGCTGACTTAAACATGTGTGCAAAGAAAAAGAATACTAATACATGCATATAAACTCCAGTTCTACTAAATCTTCTCAGTTCACAAGGAAGGGGAACGATAAACTATTTACTTAACTGATATCCCGCAGGGGATCCAGACTGGAACTACCAAAGGCAAAAGACATATTTGCATAATTCTCATCATGCACAATTAAGACTCTGAGGCCATGTGATTTACAGCTAACACACTGAATAACAGAGTACAGAGATTATTTTTTCTAATCCAGCCTTGGATGGGTGAGGCAGAGGGCATTAAAGTCACACCAAGGTCTGAACTGGGACCAGAGCTTAGACCTCCAGAGGAGAGAACAGGCATTCTGTTCCGTCACTGTGTTGCCTGGCCAGGCAAGAGCCACCGAATGGCTGAGCACTTCATGGCCTCAGACACTTATTTCTCTCTTCATGTGGTCTATTTTGGGGGAAGCCTGAGTGTGTCAGAGACTCACAGCTACTAATCTGATGTGCTACCAGCCAATCCAAAAACCTTCTGCTTGGAAATGTATCCTAAATCGGGCTGGTATGTGTTTAGGAAGAGAAAAGAAGTAAGGGCACACCTTTGATTGCATTTCAACCCAAAGGCCCACGACATGGGCACTCATTTGTTCACTAAAAATAATAATGACAATAGTAACATGTGGTAAGGGCCTCAGGAAGGTCAGCCTCTTCAAAGGAACGGCTCAGCAAGCCACTAACTGGGTCTCCTGTCTCAACCCGCCATCATCTCAGGGCAACGGGCGGGGAGCGGGTGAAGGAAGGAAGCCTACTGCACACGCCACGGCCTGACCCCACACACGACTCTTCCGCTCCTCACAAAAGCTGTCCAGGCACTAGGTCACACATCTGGGATTTGAACAGAAGGCTATTTAATTCTTGGCCACCCTGCTTTAATTTTATCATGCTACCTTCCAAAATTACCTAAAATGCAGTAAGTCCTCACTTAACGTCGTTGATGAGTTCCTGGAAACTGCAACTTTAAGCAAAAGGACGTGTAACAAAAACCAATTTTGCCACAGGCGAATTGATATAAATAAGAGTTCTTACAGCATATTTCTGGTCATAAATCATCACCAAACTTCTCAATAAAGATCAGAACACTTCTGCTATTAAACACTGCAATAAATGTGAAACATATATATTTAAGGAAGATTAATAAAATCAAGTAATATAAGTATTTACCCGCCTATTCCAGTGCAGGGTTGAGGGTGGCCAGAGCCTGCCCAGGCATCTCAGGGCCGCATGCAAGTGCCCACCGGGATACTCCCGCCCGACACAGCGCACACTCACACACACTGGGACCGCGTGGGCACGCCAAGTCACCTAGCATGCACAGTTTAAGATGTGGGAGGAAACCAGAGAACCTGGAGAAAACCCTCGCAGACATGGAGAGAACCTGCCAACTCCACGCAGTGGCCCTGGCCAGGAATCAATTTTCTCATCCATGTAATAATGAAACGGCAGTATTTGAGGACCTGCTGTACACCTTACCAGGGACTTTCTTTTCTGGTAGTCTAGTGCTCCAGGCTGTCGGTGTGTGTTCAGACACAGTTAAAAGCTTCTGCTTCTTCCAAAGTGTGTTACTGAGCCACGCCAAGTGTCGGCTACATTACATAAGAATAGTTAATGCTCATCTCGAGGTCCCCATAATTTTCATGACGTGGTGCCCAGTTCCCAAAAGATAGAAACAGTTTAAAGGATATATTTTCCTTTCTTCTTAGATACATTAATTTTTCCCAATATGAAACAATATGTTTCAATGTAGAAAATCTAAAACTACAGAAATATATACATCAAAAAAAAAAAAGTTATACCTATCCCCACATAGAGGCAAAACCAGTGAAGTTCACAGATTTCTAAAAAATACAGGAGGCCCTATTTGGAGAGGCTCTGCGCTGCCTGGGAGAAGACAGCACTCCCTTTTCAGTCCAGGTAAGAAGAAAAGGGCAAACAGTGTGTTTCCTGGGGAACAGCTTAGGCTAAAATAACATGACATTCTGAAATCCATCTAACACAGAAATAACAACCCCATTACCAAGTCCAAAGACTAAGCCAAGCCACACACGTGGGCAAGGAACTCAGGTCTGCAGCCAGCTGCTCAGGTATTCTCTCATTTTCCATGAGCTGTTTCCCTATTGACCACATGAGAAGTAGAGAGGCATTTTTACAGAACTTGCAACCATTATTCCTAGAGATATATATCAATATTGCTTTGGGCAAATTTACTTCCTCAGCTGGTAACAAGCCACAAAATGCTGTAGAAAAGTTAAGTGCAAAACAGGCACTTCCTCTCCTCACAAGATTCCAAGCTCAGGACCACAGACTCAAAAACTGTCATTCTCTCAACAGAAAAAATAAGGTCAGTAAACTGCAGTGTAGAATTTTAGCAAGATTATTTCAAAGCACAGAGTTTTAAAATAAGCATACATCTTTAAAATGTAGGATCTCTTCTCTCTGCTTAATAAGATAAGTATCAGAACATTTTGAAATTGTATCAGAAAATTGAAAATTATGAAAATGACAATGTAATATTTGACATATTTTACTTCATAGGCACTATTATAAACTGCAAAGGGCCATACAAATGTAGACTATTATCATTACCTGACATAGGACCTCTGGTCTAGCACAATCCTTCCCCAGACATGTCCCCTTCTTGCTGTCAACATTAGAGAGCCCAATTCCCACCCGAGAATAACTCTACAGCACAGACTCTGAT